GGTAGCGAGTTGATTCTGGTAGCGAATTTGTTCTGGTAGCAAATTGGTTCTGGTAGCGAGTTGGTTCTGGTAGTGAGTTGGTTCTGGTAGCGAGTTGATTCTGGTAGCGAATTTGTTCTGGTAGCAAATTGGTTCTGGTAGCGAGTTGGTTCTGGTAGCGAGTTAGTTTTGGTAGCGAGTTGGTTTTGGTAGCGAGTTGATTCTGGTAGCGAGTTGGTTCTGGTAGTGAATTGGTTCTGGTAGCGACTTGGTTCTGGTAGCGATTTGGTTCTGGTAGCGAATTGGTTCTGGTAGCGAATTTGTTCTGGTAGCGAGTTGGTTCTGGTAGCGAGTAGGTTTTTGTAGGGAGTTGGTTCTGGTAGCGAGTTGGTTCTGGTAGCGAGTTGGTTTTGGTAGCGAGTTGGTTCTGGTAGCGAGTTGGTTTTGGTAGCGAGTTTGTTTTGGTAGCGAGTTGTTTTTAGTAGCGAGTTGGCTCTGGTAGCGAGATGGTTCTGGTAGCGACTTGGTTTTGGTAGCGACTTGGTTCTGGTAGCGATTTGGTTCTGGTAGCGGGTATGTTCTGGTAGAGAGTTGGTTTTGGTAGCGAGTTGTTTCTGGTAGCAAGTTGGTTCAGGTAGCGAGTTGGTTTTTGTAGGGAGTTGGCTCTGGTAGCGAGTTGTTTTTGGTAGCGAGTTGGTTCTGGTAGCGGGTTGGTTCTGGTAGCGAGTTGGTTTTGGTAGCGAGTTGGTTTTTGTAGGGAGTTGGCTCTGGTAGGGAGTTGGTTTTGGTAGCGAGTTGGTTTTGGTAGCGAGTTGTTTTTAGTAGCGAGTTGGCTCTGGTAGCGAGTTGGTTCTGGTAGCAACTTGGTTTTGTTAGCGACTTGGTTCTGGTAGCGATTTGGTTCTGGTAGCGGGTTGGTTCTGGTAGTGAGTTGGTTTTGGTAGCGAGTTGGTTTTTGTAGGGAATTGGCTCTGGTGGCGAGTTGGTTCTGGTAGCGGGTTGGTTCTGGTAGCGAGTTGGTTTTGGTAGCGAGTTGGTTTTTGTAGGGAGTTGGCTCTGGTAGCGAGTTGTTTTTGGTAGCGAGTTGGTTCTGGTAGCGAGTTGGTCTGGTAGCGAGTTGGTTCTGGTAGCGAGTTGGTTCTGGTAGCGAGTTGGTTC